AGAGATGCACAAGGTGTTCCGTGTAAAGGGGTCACTGGTTTATGAAATGTAGTTTTTCAAGCCATCGCTTCTCAGAGTCCAAAAACCGCCTGCCTGCTCTACACAGAGACACACACGCATACAGGCTTATCAACTTCAAACTTAAATTTCTAACGCTAGATTTGCAACAGACTTTTCAAAAGACTTGTAGGATCGCCACAGAGAATGCATTACTCCTAGACACAACAGGAGTCCCGTTTGAGCCTGGTTTACATCCCATTTAAATTGCAAGGAGGAACTATCTTTCTGTCCATCACGTCAGGTGCCTCAGCTCTCGAATGAAGATGATCACTTCTCACTGATATCATAAGCTAAAATAGAAAATAAGTTTTTACAGTAGCCCCGTTTCACATGCTTGACTCACTTAGGGCTGATTTGAAGCCTGGGTTGGCGGGAGGGGAGTTAATCTCTTGGTTCCAGGTTGCAGTATGGGTGACAAAAAGCTATCCCCAGCACCACTGGGTTACTGACTGGTGTCACTCGGGGAATTGAATTAGGCTTCTGAGCCAAATGCTGTCCCAGTACAGCTTGTGTACAAGCACACACAAGCTTGCAGGGTAATTTTACAATTAACAAAGCAGTATTTCTGGGCTGTGATCTTTAAAAATGTTCCCTTCAAAAACTGAGCTGATGAACCAACATCTCAGGACAGTGAGGATGTCAGTGTACAGGTGAACTTGGAGCATTTTCTGCTGATTGTTATAAATGTCTAAGGCTGATGTGCAACTAAATATTTTATGTTTCATACAGCTCTTCCTCAAGTTATAAACAATGTTTGCCCTGAAGGTAGCTGGATGGAGGAAATGTGAGAAACCTGGAAAACAATTTCAGATCCTTTTATCCTCTGTGTTTTACTAGCAGCCTGAAACACATTTCAAGTGCATCTGAATCAGTAGCTGCAGGCATGAACCCGGAGGTAGAGAAACCAGTTTCTTAATGAGGTTCCAGAAATGGACAGCTTTCTGTGCTGGCTCTTCTTTCTAGAGGATGCACAGACTACTTTCAAAACCTTGCAGATTTAAGCTACAATTACCATTTTAGCTATAATAAATATATCCTACTTTTTTCCTTCAGGAAGAAGGGATGAAAAACATGGTATGTCTTAAAGCAAGATACAATCCATACATCCCTCCCCAGTGCACCTAGAAGGAAAAGCACCCACCTGGGTCAGGGCCCAGTGCTAGTGAGCTTTGAAGCAAAACTGCAGTAGTCACAGAATTTTAAAGCAGAAATACACGAGACAACCTTTTTGTACTGTGTGTTGCTCCCTTATGTTCTTTTTCTCCTATAGTCATAGGGACTAGGATACTTCCTACTGTCAAAACGGGAAGCATCCCTTCTCTTTCCATTTAAATCAAGGGTAATGTATCTCCATTGTGGCATGTTAAAGGTTTATTATACATTAGTCTATACTATTCCTTTAACATACACTCATAAAAACAGATGCAATGTCAGAATCCTCTCTGGGAGCCCAAAGCTAGATTTTCATATGTTGGTGAACTCCATGAATGTAAAGGCTGCTGTGCCCTAATGAATGGAGCTTGAAAGTGAGACAGGCTAGCTGTTTGCATTTAACCCAGTTTCAAATCTAAAAAATTAAAAAGATATGCTGTAGCCAGACTGAAAAGTGGAGTGAGAAGATTTTACAATTTTTTGGCCGGTTCTTGTATTGGTAGTAGTTTACCAGCCAATGAGATTTTTGTCTTTCTTTAGAATATGCAAAATAAGGATCAGGTATGCTGTGCTAAACATCTGCATATGCTAAACAAGATTTAAAACAGTTATTCAACTACTTCTGGTTTCCATCCTCTGACTGAAGCTGGCTGCAATTCATTGTTGGGGTATTTTCTTCTTTTAGTTTTAGTTCTCTTCATCCTGACTTGCCCTCCTAACTTCTGAACTGCAACTGCAAAACACAAACTAGTTAAGTCCTTACTAGATTCTGCTGTATTCAGAACAGATACTCAGTGGATTTATATAATGGTGAACTATATAATGGCATACAGCCTACCAAAAGTAACCCTGTGATTGGAAGCAAGCCCCTCAACTGGCTGTATGACATACTCTGGATGCTCGTGGGAGACCGTGTCTTGCTCTGCGTGTACCACTTTGGGAGGCAGCCCCTCTGATCGCAGTTTCAGATGTCAGAGGGCTTCATTCTGGTCCCCAGCCTGCTCTTCTGCTGCTTCCTGGTTGGACAAAATTTCAAACTGAATTCTGTGGCTTCCTGGTCCACCTGCATTTCCCCTTGCCTGGTTCCTGACACCAGTGACAGTACGATCCCGGGTATTGCTCAGGGGTCAGTCAGCTGTGGGAGCGTGACCTGGCCTGCAAGGACTCCTGCAGGGCTCTGCAGCAACCGCAGTGACAGGCTAGGCAGTTGTTGCAGACGCTTAAATAAAAAGTACACAGATGATTCCAAATCTGGGAAAAGGTTCTTTGGATGACTCAGAATAATTCTATCTTCATGATTACTGTATACAGAAACTGGGGGTGGCTCTGATCCTACTTAGTAAGTTACTAAACTTTGAAATTTACTTTGGTATGTTTTTCTCCTATACTTTTCCTACCTTGACCTTTCTCTTTCCTGTCCTTTTCTTACCCTACTCTGCAGCTGATGGAGCAGAAATCACTCTGCCTCATTACACAGTGACCTAGAAAGCCAATAACTTGCATCAGCAAATCAGTACCACCTGCGCATTTGCCTAAAATAGATTAATGAATTTATTAAAGTTTTGAGGAAGGGATTGTTTTGCTTTTGCATCTTTTATTTTTCATTGTAGGTCAATGCATATATATTCATTTTTCATAAAGAAAAAAGTTATTTTAAGTCAAAACACACTGCTTTATGCTTACGCTGCCCATTCTGGATAACTGAATGCAGCTGAAATGTTGTGCTGGGACTATACATGACAGTACAAGAGGGTGCATATGGAGAAAAAAAGGCATCTGATTTTGGGAGACAAGCAAGGAGTCTTCGTTGTTTTAACCTGCTATCTGACTTTCAGATTCACCACAGCTGGCACCGAAGAGAGTGGGAGCAATAGATCTCCAGGGCTAAAGCTGTCATACTCAGCTACTGAACACACTTCTGTGATTCTCTTTCTGTTGTCTGTGAAGTTATGGTTAAAAATCCAGAGCTACTTATATACAGCTGTTGTATAAAAGAAGGAAATAATCATGCCTGAATGTTCTGTCCTGGAAACATGTTATATGGCAGTGTTTACAAAACATAAACATCAACACCATGTACCTGCTTCTCATGCTTATCCTAATTTACACTCTGTATCCACTGTCATGATTGATCTGTTATCACTGTGCCTTTTGTAACATAGGACTGAGTCCCGAAGGCCCAAAATTCCTGTTAATCCTTATCAGTATCACAGGGTTTAGAGCCAGAGGCCAGAGCCTCTCCTGAATATTAACAGGAGGACATTATGTGAAAATGGAAGGGATTTGGTGGGGAGAGAAAGGACCATGTTGGTGAAAGGAAAATTAGATTTAACCTACAATATCAAAGAATCGGATAAACAGTACTCAAAGACGCTTATATTCCAAATGTACTACTAACACTTGTTCTTTTTTAAAGAGGTAAACTATTTAATAACTATAGCCCAAGGGTGCACGTTGCATGCTATTTTGTAAAACTTACTATTAAAAGCCTTGCTTTTCCTGTAGAGTAGCCATTGCTAAAAAGTTGACTAGAAAGGCTGTTTTTCAGAGAGGAAAAGTTGTTCAGTTGTAAATTTTCTTTAAAAATAGTAAAGCATAAAAAAAAGTAAGCTCACAAGCATAAAGTGAACTAGCATAACTCTCCTTCGGTAACTTCTCTCATACTTCTGAGTTGTATGGAGCTGTCAGTGTCTGACCAATGATGTAATCTCGTAAAAGTTTTAGAAACAGCCCACATTTAAGAAAAAAAAAAGTAAAAAAAATCAGTATTACAATTCTGCTTCGGTGTGTATGTTTTTGTGCACACAGAGCCGATCCATCGGTGAGCGGCAGCTGAGCTGGATTAGGTGCTCCGAGGAGCGGAGCTGTTGAGGAGCTCACCAGGAGTGCTGGGCCGAGCGCTCTGTGCTCACGCCACTCACCTGCCTCTGGCCTGCTGGGCCAGAGCCCAGCTTGCCCAGCCTGTGTCGTGCTGCTTTGCGCCATGAAGGCCAGCCTTCAGGATATAGTTTCTAACCCAATTTACTAGGGTAAAACAATTAAGAGTTTCTTCCTGCCCTGCCCTGCACCACATCTGCCTGTCAATCTTCACAAACAGAAGGGCTCTGCTGTATATTTACAGCAGGCGGTGAGCAATCCACTTCCAAAGGCAGGGAGCCAAGAGCTGCTGCAGCAGCTTCAGCAGCGTTGCCAAGACTGAACCTTTGCCTTAAACGACAGGTTCATTTTGCTTAAGTCCCAGCTGGGGGAAATGAAGTCACATAGTGAGTGCACTACTCTGCGCGGTCCTGGTGAGAATCATTTGCAACTATAGTGTGACTCAGCATAGGTTTGTCATTTTGAAAGGGCAAGAGTACATTTTAGTCACCTTAACAATCCCACTTGGCTCCTACACAGGCAGCTAGTGACAGGAGGCTCTGTACTGGAGGTATGTGTCAGCTGGGCAGACTCATCTGAGCTGGTTGTATGTTGCAGACCAAGTCTAAGTATAAAGTAAAGCCAGCAAACTCTGTTTACCCTCTCTGTCTAACAATATACAAGCCAAAAACTCAAATACTCTGAAGTCCCAGTTCTACTTGAAATGGGAACCCAAAAGTGAAAAGGAAATGCTGTGAATGACCAACTTCCCCATACGAACCCTAGAGTCATTAATGTTTTGCTTGGGAAATCACATAGCTGTAATGTTTGTATTTTAAAATAGGTATATAATGTAACTGCACCGATATCAGTGTCATTACTGTTGATACAAGTTCTTAAGGCTTTTCCCTTCCTTTTTTTTTTTTCCCCAGGCTGTTCTGCAGGGGATTATTTTGCTGCCCCTCCGTGCCATATGTATTGCATTCCTTGTATTGCTAGCATGGCTGTTTGCATCAATTGCAACTTTCCGTCACCCTGGAAAAGGGTCTGTGCCACTTAAAGGATGGAGAAGGTAAAAAGTGATGGATATTAGTGAAAACTCTGTGCTTTTTTTTTTTTTTTTAGTAGTACAAAGAAAGGTTCTAAAGCTTTTCTTTCCTCACTCCTTTCCTCCTAGGGAGCCTTCAGTGAAATCTTAGTTTTACTCATTTAGTTGAAGCATCTCTTTGATAAGTATATTTTAAAGCAATAGCAGAGCCTTTTAAATAGGTAGATTTTCAAATGTCTTGAGGTTAAAACAAATGTGTATAAAAATCCTGTAAGCCAGGACTTACTTTAGTAATAATACTGATAGGAGTATTTGAAAAATAAACTCATTAAGAAAAGCATTTGGTAATGTTACGTAGGCTGTGTTTCTATGTGGCCTTTGTCATTTCTGCTACGTGATAATTCATGACCAAATTGGCTTTGACAGCTCCTCTCTTAGCTATGTTGCTCTTGAAGGAGTATTTTACCGCTGCCTCTGTGGGTTCACTCAGCTTCTGACCTCAGGGTAAAAAAGTTCCCTTCTAGCTGCAATGCATTGCAGCTGCACGCAGGAGGAGGAGGAGACAGAGGAAGTGAATTCTAACAAGTCCAAGAGATTACGGCAAGTCCCACAAAGGGAACGTGTTCCAGTAAGGGAATGCTGATGTTTAATCTTACTTGCTTAAAACTGATAGTGAAAGAAAAATATCAGAATTACTTAAGTTCTTAAAAAAAGGACACTGAATCTGCTTATTACCCTCCCCTCACAGTAGCATTATGCCACAATGCTATAAAATACAGCAAGTGAAATAGCATACTTGGAAGGAGGGTTCAGCAAGGTGCTGTACGTTGCCGTATCTTTAAGATTATAATCAGTTTTCAACATGTAAAGGTGATGTTCCCTTCCCTGCTTCTAATTTGGCCCTGCAGCTCTCCCAGGGAGTAGCATTGCCACCCCTGTGCCTGGCCCCAGCGCTGGTGAGACCTAGAAAATCTGGAGTGGGCTTTTTGTTTAAAGTACAAATGCTAACTGTAAGATGCATGATACTTTTTCTGTTTCTGTTTACAAGGAGGATGATCCAGACAACGCTCTCATGCCTAACTCGTACCTTGTTCTTCGTAATGGGTTTCCAAGTTAAAGTAAAAGGGAAAATAGCAAGTCTACTGGAAGCCCCAATTTTTGTTGCAGCTCCTCATTCAAGCTTTTTTGATGCCATTATTTCTGCCCTAACTGGAATGCCATCAATAGTGTCTAGAGCAGAGAACCTATCAACTCCAGTATTTGGCAGTAAGTATTTATGAAAAAATCAAATGTTGGAAGACAGCAGTTTGACATGAAGCCAAAAATCTTACCTCTGAAAGCAATTTAGGGACAGACTTGTTCCAAAGATATTGACAGATTATTTCCACTGGAGTTCCTGTGACAAGTAATCCTTCTGAACTGGTCAAAGTGTCTAAAAGTATGCTGCTTCTTTTCAGATATGAAATACAGTATCACTTTAAATTTGCTTTATACTGAAAGCACATTTTGTAACTGCTCAGCCTGTAAGCTTACTCTTAAAATTCTCCCAGTAGGTAGCTTGAGAAATCTGTTTGACTGCTATCTTTTAACAGTGTGGCCCACAAACATAGAACATGGATTAGTGAAGGTCATTTCAAAACAGACCCAAACTAAAGCAGTCTGGAAAATCCCATATTTACAAGTTCAAGCACGCAGCCACTGTTACAGACTTTTTTTAATGGGAGTCAAACTAGGAAAGATTAAAAGAGAAGTTACTCAAAAAGGAAATGCAGAGAACGGAAAAGATCAGATGACTCACGCTTCTAGTATTTTCTCCGCCTTTTGGCACAAAAAGAATCCCTGTTTGCGTTATTACTAGAATCAGCTGTAGAGTTTCTGCTGGCTGTACAGTAACCCACAACTAAATTCAGTTGGCAACCTAGAAAAGTGTCTTTGCAGGAAATAGACCAACTAATAATATATTGCAAAAGCACAGGAGCAGAACATAGGGAGATAATTCTTCCCCAAGCTTCTCAGCACATCTTAATAGGTCTACACATTCTGTTGTCGACTTCTGATTAAATTAGGGAGGTTTTTTCCTGTAATTTATACAGGAACTGCACCTGCTTTGTAACTGAAAAGGGACATCTTACGTCTTCAGCACAGGCTCCAGGTACTTGTTGGTTGCAGTCTGCGTGAGTTAGGCCTGAGTGTGGCCTGTGAGCACAGACCCTGTCAGGTCTGTTCCTTAGAACTGTGTGGAAACTCTCAGTGAAAAAGAACAGCAATATTAGTAGAATGTGTTTGGCTGAATTTTGCATGTTGATATGTACTGTAAAGCTCCTCAGCTGGCACTGTGGTCTTCTAGGTCTTCCCATTTTGCCGAGTGAGGACAATAACACTGTTCTTATCTATTTTGTCTGAAAGCTGTTTGTGCAGAGTTGTTCTCCTAGCATGAGAGTAACAAGTTTGTGCTACAAGGGAGGCTTGAACCCATATTTTTTCTAAGCACTAGTATAAGACATTTTTTCTTATCTCTTTCACAGCAATTTTAAGTTCCCTTCAGCCTGTATCAGTTTCTCGTCAAGACCCTGATTCACGGAAGAATACGGTTACCGAGATAACTAAGCGGGCTTTATCAAGAGGCCAGTGGCCACAGGTAATAAATATACTACTCTTCTGTCATGTATCCAGACTCTGTATTTACTGTGCATCATAATATCACAGCTGTCCAACAGCTGCCAACCTACCAACATCTCATTTGGCAGCACCTCCCATCTTTCTTCTGTTGCACTGACTCTGGTCTCATGCTGACTTCAGATACTACGAACACAGTGTCACTGCCACACTGCTGGGCAAGTACAGTCAATGACATAAGACCTTTCTCCAAAGATATCCTTTGCAGATTTGTACATAAACTCATGCTTTGTGTTTTTAAATAGTTGACATGTTTTCTTAGGGGTTACTTTAATAATTTAAACCTCCAGCTGACCGGTTCAGTAGCTAAAGTAACAAGATCTATTTAGTCATAGTTGGATACCTCCTAAGTGACAGGGTAGTGAACTTTCCCTTCACTTCTGTACCAGTGAATGACTCTCAAGGAAAATTAAAAGAGGGAAGTGAAAATATAGACTTCAGTAGCAGGTATCTCTATGACAGCTAGACCTGAAAGCCCTGCTCTGCTTTCTGAATAGTCTCCAGAAGCAGACAGCATTCAAGTAGGGAAGACCAACACTTGTCACTTTTTTTGAAATGGCATTAATTAGACATTTCATGCATCATTTTTACTTAGCAAGCACCTTACAGAAAGCTTTTTAGTTAGTGTTTAGGCTACTTTAATTTGACTTATAAATGCATTTTCCTAAGCTGCTGTAAATATTTTTAGAGCCTCCGTTATTTTTTCCAATTTGTCAGTTACACGGAGGATTTTAAATATGCACATGTCAAAGTTAGGAAGGTTTTTTGGTGATTTTTATTTTAATACTGTACTTACAAACTACACTGATGCTTATGATTTGCTGAACTGTTCCAGATGAAGTGATCCCAGCAAAGCCCTGGGAGACCTAATCTCTGTTGAAAACAGCATGAGGAGGAAAGGGGAATTGTCTCTACACCAATGTTGCACTTGGCATAAAAACTAAATGTATATTATGGCATAAATAGTCTATGAGTCAAGTAATCTGGGAGTATCCAAGACTGAGTCAGTGGTACAACTGGGTGATTCCTAGTCCTGTGCCCAAGCCACACCTCCCTCCTACCCTTGAGGGTTTTTTGAGAAACTTGACCACAAGATGACGTCTGTCACATCCTCCTCAGAGTGCCTGGGCTGCATTCTCTTAGCACAATAGAAAGAGTAGCTGCATTTCCCATTCCATCCTCTTAAAACCAACAGGCTGAGCAGCACTTGTGCTTATTAATAGCATGAGGTTCTGATTAGCGCTCCTCCCAACAGGAACACAAAGGGGAAGGAGGGAATGATTGCTTACTCTTTGGTCTATCACTAATATGTTTTCTGTGCTGAGTAGAAACACACCCATTTTTGTGTCCACGGCGCTAGTAAACAATTTCTGATTACAGAATGCATAGTCAAGGACTACCTGTAATGGGTACGTGCAGCTGTCTCTCCCATACCTCAAGAGCAGCCTGCATCTCTTGGGTGTGACCTAATGATGCCCTCTTTCATCAAGCCTTGACCTGGTCATTTGGACAGAAGTGGGAGCACACCTTGAACACACTTTTAATCCAGACCAGTTCTTGTGCCAAGGATTTTTTTGGACTGTGGCTTAGGATTCTATTGTAATATGAGAAGTACAAGACTTCCTTGTATTCCACAGGGGGCTGGGTTCAGTGTGTCACATTGCTGTGCAACTAATCCCGTGTCTTTCAGGCACTAAATCAGAAATGGTTCAGCCTGCCCAAGACATTCAGGTTCAGAGGCTGCCTAGTGGCGTGTAATGCCGTCAGAGCTCTGCATCATCGATGCATGCTGCTGCTACCACCAAGCTGTGATCTTCCCGTCACCACGGGCATCTCGACTGATGTTGATAGCATCTGTGCCTGTAAACCTTCGAGTACCCTCTGTGCTTCATGTCAGCCCAGACTCTTGAGGTTTATACACCCAGCAGTTCAATAAGGAGGTGCCAGCAGAGGAACAATTCTCATATCATTACCCACACTAAACATTTCAAGTGAAACACTTAAAGCCTTTTGTACGCTATTGCTGAACTGATAAAGGCCTTTCCCCAGAACTCCTCTCTTACCAAGCATTTGTTTCCAAATCAAGATGGATCAGGCTCCTATTACTGTGAGCATCCTTCACTTCCCTGTTCATTTCCTTTTGAAACAGTACTGATGTTCTTGTGATGCAGTGTAACATGTCACAGAAGTTCCATAAAAGAATCAGCCTTTATATAACTGAAGCTCAAGTATAATTCTTCATGAAATGTGTGTACATATATATGTATTTCTTTCTCTTTAAATCCAAGATACTGATTTTCCCAGAAGGTACCTGCACAAACCGATCTTGCCTGATCACATTTAAACAAGGTGAGAAATTTTGTTGCATCATTGTTGGAAAATAATGGGTGAAATAGCAGTTTAGTGGTTCTAGTAAGGCTGATACTTCTGCAGGTACATGATCCACATCATTAAAGTTTCAGGGGCACTAAACCCCTAATGAGTTTACTTTTCTGATGTTTAGTATTTCGTAGGATGCAAATACACAATTAGTTGGTTGGGTTTGGTTTTTTTTCTGGGTACAGTTTTCATTGAATATTTAGCCAGAATCTTGACTGTGATTATTTGTGAGCTACCAAAATGCATGCTACTCATGATGTTCTTCTAGCTCAACTTAGTTGTGCCATCTTCGATTCCTGTAAAGTTCGCTATGTAAGACTTAGCAACCAAGTTATGAAATCTCTTTGCCTAGTGCTTAGCAAGACAGGTCAGTAGATTATTTTTAAGACAGAAAGGTACTTGATAGCATCACTGATCATTAAGTTGTTGTGTTGCACTTCAGTTAAAGCCTCGTTGCTCTCCTATCTTATTGTTGTACAGTCTTGGATAACAAAGTTACAAAACCACTATTGCATGCTCAGATCCCTATCACTTATGAAGATGATCAGAACAGAGAAGGGTTCAGGAAATACTCAACAGCCTTGTAAGCATCTAATCCTTTGAAAAGGAATGCCAGTCAGTGGGGAGGTAATACACAGAAAATGAGTATGAACAGTCCAGGAATCTTAGGCAGCTTTTCCCTTGAAATAGAGACCAACTCTTTTCTGTCCTGACAGCTTGTTAGTTGCGCTGCTCATTTAATAAAAAACAAAACCAACCAAAGAAACCCACAACAATAAGAACACTTCCCAATCTTCTCACCTTTTAAAAGTTTCTCCTTCCACACACCATGTCTTGCACAAATCACTTAAAACTCCCAACTGCCGCATTAAGCTTAGTCTTAACAATCAATTCTAATTTGTGGCTGCAGGTGCCTTTGTTCCACGAGTCCCTGTACAACCTGTGTTGCTTCGATACCCCAACAAGCTGGTAAGCAGAACATTTTTCTAACTAGCACTATGGAAGTCAAAATCCCGACTTAAATGGTACCCACATAAATATTTTGCATCGTCACTAAAGAAGCTGTTTTCCTGAGCTTTAGCTTTGGAGAGGTCCTGCAAGCAGCCTGACTTCCAAAGTGTCAGCATGGTGCAGTTGATATCCTGATTATGAAAAACTTCCTGCTGGACTTCTTAGCTATTACTTAAGCCAGAGGGAGCAGGGGCAAGTATTGCAGCGGAAGTTAGAAACTTCCTGCAAAGACACAGAGCCTGCACTTTGAAGTTTAAAATGCACACGACTTCCCTACTAGTCATAATGTTTTGTTTAAGCTGGAAATGCTCTTACTGCAAAGGGCCTTGCGGAGTTTTGGAAAACAGCAAAGCTGAACCATGCAGGACTTCCAACCTCCCCTCCTTCAGGCACCTCAGGAGGGCAGTTTCGCACTTTTTATGCAACTTTCCCTTGTTTTGCCCAGTGAATGTTTACACTTTCTGTCAAGTACAGATGTATGGCTCTGCTTCACTGACAGTATAATGCTGGGAAATGAGTCTAGCAACTTAGGGTTTTTTACTTATCTTGTACTCCAACAAATCCAGAAAAGACCAAACTTTTCATTCCTGATGGTTTTCAGATGAAAAACGTATGATTGCTATTGTTATTTACAAAGAGTCCTTTATAAACCCTTTTACAGATCAGTTTCAAAACTAAATTGAACCACTCAAGAGGACTGGTATTGCATTTCACTGACTGGATTTAAGGATCTGCAGTATACATCTTAAAAATTATATATAAGAATTATAGATAAGAACATTAAAAAAGCAAAGAAAAAGCATGATAGATTACCTATGCGGAAATGTTCTTAAAAAATAAATCAGACATATTTATGAGGGTGCCTTTCTAAAAGGACTGGTAAGGTCCTTAGAAAAAGTCTTACTAGATTATTTTTTTCTTAATTCCACTGTTTGGATCAGAATGAATTATTTAAAATCTTTAAGTAGCTATATAAATTTTTATTCCTAATTGTTGGTATTATCAAAAGTCTGCCATGCTTACTTACCAGTTTTTAAGGCAGGGAATCCTAGTTGCCTTGACCTTGTTATTTATTTTCACTAGAGAGCCATAAAACTATCATCTGCTTTTTTCTAAACTTGTGCCCGTTTTATATTTTAACTTATCTGCTCTGTAACTTTCATCTGGTTTTGTCATACATTTCTATGGTTTATTTTTTTCCTTAGGATACTGTGACCTGGACTTGGCAGGGCTACTCATTGTAAGTTTCTTAATCCTACTGAAAATTACATGTAGAATTTTTTCCCCCATTGCTAAACAGTCTGCCAAACAGATTCAGCTAAGCCAAGACATGTGTTCTTCTAGATCTGTTTTTATGAGGGGGAAATACCTGGGAGTAATGCTGTTGTGCAGTAGGTTTCGTATCCGAGTGGCTTGAGAAAGGGTTTGCAGATGGGGAAGGATTATTTCCAACTCTGCCACTGTTTTGTCCAATTTTCTCCTATGTTTTGCACTTTTCCTTAGGAAACAATCACAGTCATCCAAATCCATAGATGTTTTACAGTTTCCTACATGGTATGCAAACAAGAAAAAACGCTCTTTTCTCCCCTCTGTTTATTCATCCCTTCATCTCATTAGAAATCATATGAAAGTAAATGAAGATGGGCAAAACAAGCATTAATTTTCCCCATCTTCCTCTACTCAAACATCTAGGGTTCTTGTTAAGATTTTTATTTTTGCTTGACTCAACAATAGCAACTGTTTTGAGATCCCAGTGAAGAGGCTATATTTATGTATTACCTGATATTGAAATAACAAAAAAATACTTCAGTAAGCCAGTTAGGCAGTAGATCTATGTTTATTTCTCAACACAAGTGGCCTTCTACTATGTTAAAATATTAAAGTATTAAAAAGCCCTTGCAGCTGCACTGAAAATATGTCTAGGAAATACTTTTCACCATTATAAACATCATTAAAACATGGATTTGCAGATTCCATATTGCATTTTCATATAGAATATGTAGTTGTATCTAAGTACAGTAGTACTGATTTACTAAGTCACTAAAATTTTTAAGGGAACTGATTTTGTCTGAACTAGTGGAGCAAATCATAAGCGCCTTTTATGCTGTCATTAGTTAATCCTAGCACCTGCACACTTGTAGAACGGACGTAATGAAATCTGACCTAGATGAAAACGTCCACCTCATTTAGTTTCCCAAGAAGGTTTTGCTGTTATTGTTACTTCTGTTAGAGTTATCAGCGTACCGAGAGTAACAAATATTGCAAATTCAGTAGCATACTAGATTTCCTCTATGAAGGATTTATGCTGGAAGATTGAAAAGAAGCTACGTCCTCAGTTATGAGAGACAGTGGAGGAACAGGGGGATAAAGAAATGAAATCTGGTGTTCCTGTGGAAGGGAGGACGCCGCCCATTCACTAAAAATTGAGAACTGCTCTAAGCCTGGTGGCTGGATGCCAAAGGCTCAAATCAAAACCTGTGAGAAGATGAAAGGAACAGCTTTTCAAAATCGTAACAAGAGGATGGATGGGGCAGAATCTAGAGATTCTTAACAGAAATAACTGGAACCTGAGAGTACAAAAGGCACGAGTGTCACACTCTGTAAAACTTTCTGGATATTGCAGCCAGACTCCTCCTCAGAAACCTCCTCACCCAGTTTCTTCTTTCACTTACTGCTTCTTTCTTTTGTGCCTTACTGAGAGGTACGCCTAATGTTGTATGTTAGAAAATCAAGCATTGAGTGGATTCCTGCAGAAAGTGGAAAGGTTGCCTTAGTTGTTCTCATGCCTTTTCCTTTTCTCTTTTCTATTTTGCCCAAAACAAGAACAGAAGAAAGATTGCTAGAAGGTTTTCTGTTACCATTCGCCTTATTTAAAGAGCAAATGTAAATTTCTGCTTAAAAGTCACATTGAAAAGAACAAGTCAGCAGTGGAAGCTATTATATCCTCTTTCACAGTTTCTTCCTTGCCCTACCTGTTGATACTAAAATTCATGACTTTTTCTAAAAGCACTGATGCTTCATTGGTACATTTGTATAAACGCTACTATAATTGCCAAAATGGCTAACATACACTAGCAAATTCATGCTTTAGTTAATCCAGGAAGTTACTTGTGCTGTTTTGCAGATGAGAGAAGAAAAGATAAAGCTACTTCTCAGAACCAAAGCTCTTAAAGCTTTCAAATCCAGTATGTATTCACCTCTTCAAAGATAAAGTAACATGTACACTTTTTGCTGGCCAAAGAACTGTTCGGTATTGTTCACATGTATGACAACAGACAAGGTGCCTCCCCAGTGACCAAGCAGCAGGTATATGCAGAAGCCCTGTGAAAAAAATTTCAAAAGCAACATTTCAGGGAACTTCACTGCAAGGGACCTAAAAACTCAATATAGACTGTATTTTTGTCAATGCTTTAAATCTACTGATGTGCAAATACTTTGTTTTTAAATAAGTAAAATGTATTTTTCTTCCTCTTTGCCTGCAGAAAAGAGCTGTGTGTAATGACGCTGTGTCAGCTCTTCACAAGAGTAGAAGTTGAGGTAAGAATTAGAAATGTATTTGTACTAAGACTGAGCAACCAGAGAATTTATACTTTAATATAAATGCATTATTCACATTAGTAGTCACCATCAGTGAACAGGTGTCTCAAACACAAACAGAATCACAGTGAATAATATATTTGGATTGTTGTCCATGTCTGTGTGTCACTTAATCCGATGAGTTCCCAAAAGAAAGCTGTGAGAAATGGCTTTATTTTTAAAGCATTGTAAAATCATTGCTAATTATCACCACATGCATTTTACAGATGTTAATACTAAGAATTATAATATGGGCTGTTAAAGATGACTTGTTTTTTCCCCACCTTCTCATTTCCCTCCTTCCTTCAAAGTATCCTTGCCCTCCTCACCGTCTTCCCAGACTGAACTCTAAAAAGTTTCTGCAACTAAGAGCTTGCTTCAGGATTCCAGGACTTGTACTGAGCCTTGTATAAAGCACCGGTTCCTTTGATCATTAATATCAACTGCACAGCACAAAGATAGATGAGTGACAACTGGAACACCACACACACTTCATAGTATCAGTACAGACACTCTAACTGCTCCCGGTCAAAAAGTCAACACAAAAAGTCAAGAACACAGTGGAGAGGAGTCAGGTAACTAAAGTGCTGTGCTTCACATTCCTTGCCAGACCCAAAGGACTGTCGGTGTGGACTCGGTCAGTTTAGGAACCTGAGGAATGGGAATGGGAGAAATTCAGGCAGGTTTTGCCATTTATTTGCAGAACAGAATTTAGCAGAGTTATGCAAAGCTTTATGAATACAAGCAGTGTTGTTACTACTAAGAATTAGCAACATGGTCTTTGTTGTGAAACAATGAAATTCATTTCAAGGGAGAACCTTGTTACTGTATAGTACATGCAGTACACACATATTTGTAGAATATATACTAAGGAGCTAATTCTCCTAATGACAGAAGGGCGTATCTGTGTAATTTATACAGATGTGAGCAAGAAGTAGTTAATGTAGCCCTTCCAGTAGAAGGTTTATTTCCCCCTACTTCAGAATAGATCTCAAACTTCTCTGCTAGAAAATAAATCTCACGTGCCAAAAGATGAAAACCATGAAAAAATATGCAGCTTTCACAGTAGCCTGGGTCTCCAAAGTAGAACTGATTTCTTAGCATCAATGCACAAGTGCTTCTATTTCTAAAAAGAGAAGGGGCAGATTTGCCCGGGGGAGGAAGGAATCAGCCTACTCGTTTTAGGAATGAATATTTCTGTTGCTGTCCCAGCCCAAGAGCAAGTTGCTGCTCTGCTCCCAGCAGTCTCACGCTGCCTCTGCCTCCTGTCCCTGAACAGGGCTATGCTCCTGTCTGTGGTCCAGGGGAGTGTGCGTGTGCATGTCTAGTCAGTGAACCTGGCAGGGAAGTTTAAGGCTGCAAAAGATACAGTTTGGCAAATTCTCTGAGAAGAGAGACCAGGTGAAAAGCAGATCAGAGAAGTATTTCTGCTACTGAAAGAACTGTGAAGGGGTTTTCCTACAGGACTGCAGTTTGACAGGGCAGGTATACTTACTTCACCAGGTAAGCAGCTGGGTGTGTGTGAGATCATGCAGGCCACCTCAGGAGGCCAAGAAACCAAATTCTTCATCGCCAGCTGTGGTCTCTGGCAAACTGGTTTTAAGAATAATTGTAGGTGGGTTTTTTGAAGGGGACAGAGGTGTTGTTTAACCTGCCCGGTTGCTGTCTAAGCAAGACCTCATCCTCAAATGATGTAATGACCACTTTCAAGACCATGACCCATGTTTGCATAGATAAACTTCTCAGTTGAGATTTCATCTTATCCACTGATGACACAATTTTCTGTGTCTGTACAGGATGCTTGTGCTTCCTCATTCAAGAGTTATGTAACTTCTGAAGGGGAATTGTAATAACCAGGGACATATGTCAGAGGTTGAACAGAGCTGAAAACTGCTTCTAGAAGGAATGAAATCCCAAACTTTCCTGTGAACAGCTGGACCATTGCTGTCTTTACAGGGGATAAAGCTTTTAACTATAAACAGAAAATTGTTATGGCTGTTTAACAGGTAATGGAATCCACAAACTTACTGCTTTTAATCGTAAGGAAGCAGCATTTTTTAAACAAGAAGGCTGTTCACGATAGATTGTGTTTCTATGCGGCAGTCGCCACTATCAGTGCATCACCAGCAACTGCAGTATAGCTGGAGAAACATATTGACACACAATTAGCAACTGTATCTTCCAGTGAATCATGAGCTACACCTTATACTTACTCTAGACCTGCTGCATTCTAGGATTTTAAGGCAAGATTGGAGGGTGGGGAGTAGAACTCAGATAAATGATAGCCATAACTGGGAAAAGGCATGGTAAGCAGAGCTGCAAGCGGACACCATAGAAAGATCAAAATACTTCTCCACACAGACTACTTTCCAAACAAATGTCGATTTAGATACCTTATTAGATGATAATTAATGTATAGTACATTTTTTTGTGTAATGCTACTTCGACTTCTTACATTTTATCACTGAATAAATCCTCAACAGTAAACGTGTTGCTGTTGAGATATCTAGTGTGTTTTGGGGGTTTGGGAGGAAAGGGAGTTGTTTGTTGGAGGGTTTTTTTCTTTCTGCTCGGAGTTCCAAAATTTTACAGTATTTGTATCCAGTTATAGTGCTCTACTTAGATTCAGAACTAAGAGTCCTTAACACTTTCATCATGGCGGACAAACTTAAAGAAAACTTCCCAGTTTAAGGCTGACAAATACAATTAACAGGTATGAGGCGGGACTACAGTATTTAAAAACATTTAAAATCTTTCATGTACTATTCTAGTATATAACATCACTTAGAAAGGATTTTTGAAAAGGAGCGTACATTGTTCCAGACTCATATTCTTACCAATGCATCATTTAGTTTTCTGACTAAGTATGCAGTTATTATACTTGCCTTCTTTGGGGATTTTATATTTTACATTAAAGTAGCTTCTATCACTCTTTAAGAGGTAGTTTTGGACTCAATCTCATTTGTCTGGCTAGGGCAGAAGGGCCAGAGTGGTTTCTAAGGTGGCTGGGACATCTAGTGTCCAGTTCCTTCATTGCATGGCTGATTTTTTTCTCCTGTTTTTCTCCCATTCCAAATAACAAGAAATTGTCCGAGTTGTTAACAAAGTGGTGACTACTGAATTGACTGAATAACTCATCTCTTTCAGTTTTTGCCTGTTCATGTTCCTACTGAGGAAGAAAAGAACGATCCCATTCTTTTTGCCAACAGAGTCCGACAAACCATGGCAACGTATGTATTATCCAGCAGTTCCGCATACATCCTAACCATAAAGTACAATTTAGACAAGTCCCAGGTACTGTGTATAGGAATTGCTCCAGATTAACTAAGAGGTGTGAAATTCCTTTACTAAAAGACCCTAATTGTTTAAACATGGAGCATAAAGAAGGTTGTCTTACATTGGAATATAGTATGTTTGTGGAAAGCTAGGATAAATTGCTCCCTGATTAGCTTGTCAAGAACAAGCAGGTAGTTTGTTCTGGGCTGCATGTACAAACGTCATGATGCTTAAAATATGATGATGCTGCCATAAGGTAGTTTCACAGTGTGGTTTCACAAAATCTTACATACTGCTTTGTCCTACTTGCAGCAGTACAACAATGTTTTACATATTAGCATTAAAGCCCAACTGAGAGAAGGGAAATAGTCACCGAGAAGTAATTTCAGTAAAAGAAACTGAATTTTCTTTTTCCTTAATTTTGTTTCAGCGCTTTGAATGTTCCAGTCACTGATCACACTTTTGAAGATTGCAGACTGATTGCTGACTTTACCCATGGAAGCTGGGCTGGTGGAGTTCACCAAAATTAGCAAGAAACTCAAGTAAGGGCAGTTTAGCTGTTGGCAGCGTAAGTACTGCAGCGCTGCAGGTGTTGATGGCCATCTACAAAAGGAGAGATTACCTGACAGCCATCTTGGCCATGTGTAATATAGCTTATTTATGTACACAACTTGCATACATAAACTATATGGAAATCAGAGATGAGGAAAATCTCAGTAAGAACTAAACCCAAGTAATTTTTGTGGGCAGTGTTACAAGGGAAAGAATGCATGGATTTATCTCATTGAAAGGTGAGGAAGGTAGAGCAGTACCTATTTTAGGCAACTGGAGGTAATCTTAGTGCCCAATTTAAATTGCTATTGTGGACACACACACAGGCAGTGTGTGTGTTATGAAGTAAAACTTCTTTCCACCCTGAGACTTCAGCCAGTGGTTTACTTTTCTTGGTTGTACTGCAGCCATGTTTCGCTGATGGTGTTGACTTGTTCTGTCTGGATATAGCGGAATTCAAGGGCTGAACCATTTAATCATACAGTAACTCCATCAAATAACCTGGCATAGCTGGGTCAGATCTGAAGTATGTGCACAGTGAATCTTGACTTATTACATATGTGCTGTATATCCATCTCTAGAACTCTCTCTGGAACAATCTTCAATAGTTACATGGAATTCTCAACTATTCTTTCTGAGGTGCAGCGGTGTATTTCCACAGAGAAATCAGATAGGTCTCAGGCTATAGTAATACAAACATTTGGGTGGAGTTAGCTAATAGAGCTGAGATCTGTTTCCCTTCTGTTAAGGAAGTACTTGTGATGCAGCAAAATAATGCTGCAGCTGAATTTAGGGTAATGAAAAGTTCCCTCCTAGACTAGCCTAGTAACTGGACAGCGATTCTAAGTTTGGAAAGTTATTCTAAAGAATTCTGATGCACTCAAGCAGAGAACTGCCTGCTTTTAATACCAATAACCAGAGGGAGCCATCCTTAATTGCTGATTTCATTTAATGTATCGGGTTGGAAGTACAGCATTTCTAAGGCCGTACAAACATGCTCTGTTTGGCTATTTTTTGCCTTTGAACACTGTAGTAACTCCTACTGAAATTCCATCTGTCCAAGATCTGCTGTATAGAAATATCTCCTCTCCCTCATGTTTGCATAGCCTGAAATGGAATCATGTAAGAGAGCAGCTGGATACCTTTGCTGCGATTGCAAGCGCTTCCAAAGGGGGAAGAATTGGAATTGAGGAGTTTGCAGAGTATTTGAAGCTGCCTATTTCAGATGTCCTCAAAGAGCTGTTTCTACTCTTTGACAGGGTGAGTAGTTGGTTAACTGACTTGTTCACAATATTTTGTTAAAAATCACATCCCCAAAGGCTATTTAATTCATTAAGTCCAGCTTAGTAAATGCTTCTCGGTTAGCAATTCCTATAGGCAAAATAGGTGACTCCTACAGTTTTCTTCTTAAGTTTTGATGAAAAATGGTTGGTCAGTTCATAGCTTGTGAGATGACAGCCATCTCTCAGACTGAGTTGCTTCACCACTATCAGATGATAATCTTCATGCTGGCAATGGCTGAATATTTCCTTTTGCCTACCCCAGATTCTGAGCTTCTCAACAGTGTTACAGCTTAATTAACTGATAGAGTTGTAAGTAGGTAACATAAGGCAGATTGAAGCTGACCAGGGCGTACGTTCGTTCTGTGTTTGTGAAGGATGCGATTGATGTTATAAGGATTGCCTATGTCCAGCCATAAAGGAGGCTGTGCTTTAAGCTCATCATTTAGGCTTTCTCCCATAGTCAGTGGTGGTTTCTCCCATTTTCTGCCTCTCTCTGAAGATGAGAAAAATTGCTCTGTGGATGCGTCCTTCTGACTATACCAGAAGCATCAGTGACTAGAGCAGACCATAGAATTCATCTTACTTGTCAGCATCTAATACATGCTATGGTGCAAGCAGCACGTTGTACTTCAAGTGTTTATGAACTAGAGTTTGTTTCTTATTGTAGGAACTCTCCCAGCTCAGCATCACCCTTGCTGACCAAGTTAGCTTTAGCAGTACACCCGTCCTTGGAAAGTCATTGTGTGGTATATGCTGATTAAAACAGTTTCAGGATTTTTCCACATAAAAAGATTTTACAAGCACTGAAAGAGAGAAGAGTCAAATATATTTCCCTAATTGCTGAATGCATTGAAGCTCTAGAAGAGCTGGGCACTCATCCTTTCTCGATTCTTGCCTACCCATCACGGGCCATTGGCTCCTATGAACATGTAGGTCAAGTCCTGAAGCACAGTACATACAATAGAAATAACAGTGGGGCAACCAAAATAGTTAAGGACAATCAAGACTCCTTTCAGTTTCCCTATCTGGCAGAACAGCATCAGTAACTAGAATTAGCTCAATTCACTAAAAGGTTGAAGGCATAAAAGATTGCAAGAACTGACAAGACTCTAGTAAGCTTTCACTGCATTCAACTTTAAGTAGATGAGCTCAACTGAGGAATGGTCACACTAACATGGCTCTGTTCAAATTGCTTCAGTTATGAGCACAGGTATTTTGATGCTTCTGCTCTGTGGCTTTCAGCCTCATCATTTCCTGGTGTTTTGTTTTTTTTCTAAAAAGATAAATCACATAAAGCTAAGTATGCAGAGAAGTAAAAAAAAAAAGAGAGGTGTATCTACAGTTGACAGAACCTACTGAGATCTGAGACGATTCTGGCAGCTGGAGACATGCACAGACGTGGTGAAGTCTAAGCACGCAGATAAACTGTGTTTTGCCCACGCCCAGCTCAGATGGAATACAGCTTTGGAGAGTTACAGAAGCACTGGATCTCTGAGTAACTTCCTTCAAAAAATCTTCGCGATGTTCCTTGCTAAAGCTTTGCTGAGTGGAGGAAGCAGTAGTGGTCGTGGAGGGAGCCTTGCACGTGGCCTCGGAGGTCTCCTAACAGGAGGTGGGCATGGAGGGAATCTTGGAGGACTTGTTGGAGGTCTTGTCAATCTTATAAGTGAAGCAGCAGCTCAGTATAATCCAGAGCCACCTCCGCCTCCTCGCAATCATTTTACAAATGTGGAAGCTTACGAGAGTGAGGAGATCAGGCAGTTCCGTCGCCTTTTTGCCCAGCTGGCTGGAGATGATATGGAAGTGTGTGCCGCAGAACTGAGGGACATCCTTAACAAAGTGGTTTCCAGACATCAAGACCTGAAGACAGATGGCTTCAGCTTAGACACATGCCGTAGCATGGTAGCTGTCATGGACAGCGACACAAATGGCAAACTGGGCTTTGAAGAGTTTAAGTACCTATGGAACAACATCAAGAAATGGCAATGTGTATACAAGCAGTACGATACCGATCAGTCAGGCACTGTTGGGAGAGCTCAGCTGCCAGGCGCCTTGAAAGCTGCCGGGTTCCACCTGAATGAAGAACTCTGCCACGTAATCGTGCGCAGATACGCCGACAACGATGGTAGCATGGATTTCAACAACTTTATTAGCTGCTTGGTACGTCTAGACAGCATGTTCCGGACCTTCAAGGCTCTAGACCAAGATGGAGACGGACAAATCAAAATGACCATTGAAGACTGGCTGCAGCTGACCGTGTATTCGTGAAGGCATAGCAGAGAAGAATAAGCTTCGTCTCGAAGATAGACATGGAAGGTTACAACCCTGCATTCCTTGTTCTAAGGCAGATGTAGCTAGTGGTAGATAGCTCAGCTTCGAGTGTTGTGGTTCCTCTCGTGCATGCCTTAGTCTGCCTTTCTGAAGGGTTTTGCAGATGGTCAGTTGGACAGCTGCCTGAGTCTGTCTCAGAAAACTATCTCTAGGCTCTGAAGTGAGGAAAAATGTTGAGGGATCAGGAATATGTTGACGGATCAAAGCTTAGTTATTTCTTTGCATAAAGTGGCTTGTATGCGAGTATAACTATTATATAAAAAGCTCATAACTTTAATATTACTGTTCTGATTTGTCAGCATTTGCTAAGCTGGAATAAAGCTCTGTCTGCCTGAAGGCAATCAGTAGTAAAGAGAGTTGTGCACTTATTTCTAACAAGGGGAAAAACATGAGCATTGCAATAACTACAATGATCAGTGAATTTACATAATCATATTTAATTTCCTTCCTGCTTCTGCTTTTTCATGCTTGTCTGCTGAAGCAAAACCTGAGTGGTATTGTCAGTTCAACCTGCTGGCTAGGAAAAAATTGAAGACTTATATAAGGCTGTTTTTACAGCCTTTTCCTCCTTCCTACAGTTCTATTAACTGGTCTTTTCTCTCTTTCCTTCGAGCCTTATTATAGTTATAATGAAAACAGTTTAAAATACTGCATTTCTATTTAGAGAAGCTTGCTGTAATAATGCAGTCACGTACCAGACAGACAGCCAAAATCAACCTCTGGCTATCTGAGTTAAATTTTATCAGGGTGCAGTGTCCCACTCAAGCTAGTTACCCAGTTCTAAGACGCCAACTTTTGAGAAAAAGCAATAACATGACCTGTCAAAGGTAGATTTCTTTGATTTAAGGATTACATCGTTGATGAAAACAGTTCTTGCACTGCAATGTAACAAGGCAGATTTCTGAGCAGGGCTCTGCTGCTTTAAAAGAAAATTGTCTAGGGTGTGTGCTAGCTGACTGGAATGTGAAAGGATGAGTCGAGTAGCACAGCCTGCACACTGCCAAGGAGACCTCAGTGACTAATTGAGAAACACCACACCATACCTGCAGGGCATCTGAATGCTAATGGAGTATTGTCGTTTGGTTTCTCAATTTCCATAGCTTTGTTTTCTAAATCTTGCATTTACACTTGGCAAATAGATATTTTCCAAACTGATGAAGTCTCCTGCCTGGTATAGTTGCAGAAGCCTTTTTACTTTGCATTGTACGAAAAAGTAACTTAGAAGTTTTGCCCAGACTTCTATCCTCCTGCACTTTGTTTAATACCAAGCTGGGTGACAGAAATGGTAAAAAAAGAGCCAGTTCCTTCCTAATGGCATTCACCACCCTCCATTATTCAGTGGAAAAGCACACCCTTATCCTCAGTGGCATTTGGGCTCTGAGTAATAGAAAAGTGAGCATGAGGGGAAGTGTGGTACATCTAGGTGAGCACCATCCTACCAGGTTTGTTTCTGACTTTCCCTGACTAGTTAGAACTTGCAGGTAGCAGCAAGTGATGAAAATCTTGGAGTTACAGCAATAGCCTCTTACGAGATGAGCCTGGATATGTCAAACACAAGAGGCACACCTGCCATTCCTCCCCAAATGGTCCAGTTGCAGTTTCTCTGTGGTAGCCCTGTAAGGGACTCCGGGTTTACTTAGCTAAGCATGAATGACTAATGCACATGCAGACACAGTTGATTTTTCCTGTTGCCGTACATAATGAGAAAAAGTTTTGAGGCAGTAGTGCTTTAAATTTTATTGACTTCATCTGCCTTGCACTCCTTGTGCCACTCTAAATGTAGACTGCTTATGGAAATGCAAACTTCCTTGTCTCCCAAAGTGTAAGATTTAGTGTATTAAAAAAAAAAAACCAAACCCAAAAAACAACCTAGGTACCATAGCATGCTATAGTGAAAATAGCAGCAGAAATCTAGTTTCCTTAAAGAAAACAAGGGTTGCTGAGGTTACAGTATGTTTTGATTACTTTATACAAATACCTAAATATTGATGTTCTGTTTTGCTGTTTAGAGAATTGGTGCTTAGCTCACATGTTGCTTCCTCAAAATATTCTTGGGGGCATAGGCTGCAAACACAGCTAGATGTGTGTAGGAAGACTCTTGCAAGTGCTTGTTCACAGAGGTGCTGCACAAGCACTGACAGTTTTCCTGCATTTTCAGTTTAACTCTCATCTCTTTTCCCACGCAACAGCCCTGTCATTTCTCCTTAACCAAAATGCCGGAGCGTTTGGAAGTTAGCCAGCATCCTAGAGTTTAGTAGAGCTAGTCACAACATGATCCTGCAAGCGTAGTAACTTTATTTCCTACTCAAATGGCTGGAGTTGTGTGTATCAGACTGCACTCAGTTCTGGTTACTGGGTTTTAGCACTTCAGTGAATTAATATGACCCTTATGAGCTGTTGTGATTTTGCCATGTGAAGCTGTAGCTGTGTTAACTTATTTTAGAAGTTGAGGCTATTTTGTTTACAGTTTACTTGCCAAATCTTTTCCTGTGATGCATATTCTTTACTTCAAAAATTAATTTTAAAAGATATTCTAATTGCATCAAACAATTCAATGCTAAGGATACAGTGTATAAAACTGTCACAGAATAATTTTCCATGGAACTTTGAACGATTATTATCTATGCTCTTGCTTCAGTTGTTTTAAGAGCTTGGGTTTATAATGATACATTTTAAGGTTTGAACTATTATCTCTGTTAGAACTATGATGAATCCAAAATATTTAAAGGTAAACTGCAGCAGGAGAGCATGGATTTGTAAATTAAATGTCATTTATGAGAATACTGTCCTTTTCTAATGGTTGAAAACTATCAAAAGTTATATCCCTTAGACACACACAGAAGTAACTTGAAGACTATTTGTATCTTTGCTAAAAAGTTTCACTACAATTCACAGGGTTTTAGAAGTACAAGAAGTTCAAAGGTCACATGTCTTCAAAAAGGATTGGTTAGACCATTGATATAAAGAAAATAACAGTTGTCTGTGCAAAACAATCATGAATTGGTTTTGAAGGCTAAATAAAACTCTCCTTTAGCGGTTTTAAATCTCATCAAATGCATAGCCTGATAACAAATCAGTACTGAATACATTATTTTGTTAATCACGTACTATCTTAAAGCCTAAATTCAATAACAGAAACCTCTATTTCATAGACCCCAAGATATCCAAAGTGCTCTACAGAGCAGCCTTTGCAATTCTCCCTGGTAAGCTCCATATTCCAATACTGGACAGCAGAAGACCAAGAACACAAAGGTTAAGGTTGTTCTGCTCAAGTGGGCATTAGAAGTTGGTAAAAGAGCCAGAAATAGTATCTAGAGCTGGCCCTTCACTACAGATTCACCCAGGACACCACACCTCTCTCACTTGGCTGAAAAAATTTTGTGCTGTTCTCAGACTTTGGAAGTCCACTTTAAAAAAAAATCTTTTTCCTCTTGAAACGTACAACTCATTAGCCACAAAGGGAACTCCACTTTACGCTTATGTTGGCTTCTAAAATGTTTTTAATGAATGCTTTTATTGTGAACTCAGCTACTAGTCATCTCTAATGTGCTTTCATTAACTTTGCTGTGTCCCATCACCTAACGCTTGTATAGGGCTTTTCCCCACATAGGATGTTTCCCAAAACCCTCAAGAAACTTCCAGTGTGGTCGCAGGAACACTACTGACCTAAGCATATCTTTCACCAGGCACCTGCTGTTTTCCCTATCTGCACGTATAATGCCGCTTACATAGAATTAAACATGAATCCCATTAAAGCAAGCTTCAAATGTTCTGGTGATGTAGCTTTGTAGTTAGCACATTGAAATGCTCGGTCAGATCAAACCTGGAACTATCAGAGAGGCTACAATGAATTCATCGCATTTCTGGCTTAAAGGGTAGGGCAGTGTGTTGGCTTCACACTAGCAGGTAGGGCGATGCTTTTGCTTCAAAGAAAGGCTTAAGGTAGACCATGCAGATTTACTGCATAAACCAGGTTGTGCTTTTGCCGACATATATTTTATTGCTGGAGATTCTTGGGAAGAATTAACTGAAGGCAAGAGCCTCACTGGTGGCCTGCTTATTTTAGGATTTTGGGTTGGTCTCTGAACTTTAGCAACTGCCAGTGCTCCATGAGCTGTTGCAGTTACCTTAAACACATGTATTCTAGTTCTTGTTAGAGGCTTCTTGGAGATCTTATGCATAAATTGTTTTAAATCTTTTTTGTTTGGGTGTTTGTAAAGATAGAAATTGACACCTAGTTTCTAGCTATTGAAAATATGCCTATTGCTACTTCAGCCCTAGTATTACATGTATTTAACGAGCTGTTAGTATTTTTTCCAGCAAGAACATATACCTCTATTATTGTAAATTGTCTTAGTGTCCATTGTGTAGCTGATTTATATAACAGCTTTTAAAGTGATTTGCAATATTAACTACTGCCATGCGTATTTTGGTTACAGAATGGAGATGGCACCATCGACTTCAGAGAATATGTAATTGGTTTGTCTATTCTTTGTAACCCAGCCAACACAGAAGAGACTATTCGGATGGCATTTAAGGTAAGTTCAATTTAGTGTAAATCTACAAAGCTGACAAATCAAGACTGACTGTAAATCCATTAGCTTTCAGATCATAAGTTTATAGCTTCAATCTGTTATGCAAATGCAAGTAATACTCTTAAACCAATTGACATTTAGAGTGTGAAGTGAAAGGGGAGAATTGGAGGCATCAGCTTCATAGAAAAGGGTTTCCAAAGCCACACAAAGGCACTAATGAATATGTAACTTGTCAGGCTAACTCCAGAAATGATTCAGCAGCACTTGCAGGTTTTTTGCCTGAGGTTTTTTCTGCTGTGATTCTTCAACATCTAAGCCAGGCAATAGATGGAGCAAGCGTGGGTCAACTGCTCAATAGTCTCACTGTTGTTAACAAAGTACATGGTGAAAAAACATCAAGAAATAGCTATTCAGGACTGGCACATCCAAAATTGGGCTACATCTAAGATCATCAATTGGCTTGTACTATAGTGGCCTGGTAGTACAAGCAGTCAAGGAGCAGTAGCTCCTTTCGGATCTCAGATGCAGGCAGTCAATATGTGACCAGGGATGCTCAGTCTTTGAATCCTTTAATAGGAAAATGCTCAAGTGACTTCCTTTTCAGTAAATCTTTGACACAGGTTCAGATATTTTACACACTAATCCGTTCTTATGAGCCACACTGAACTATATATTGAGATATGGATCATGTTCATCTTAAACTGGATAGTTTTTAATACTGGTCCATGCTCAGAAAGTACCAGAACTTTTATGGCAATCAATTATATCCACTGGCTGCTTTACAGAGAAGTGCTACAGCTGTTGAAAGTTATTTGTGCTTTTTCAGGGATGCTTTATCATGACAGAGTCCTGTGAAGAAGTAAGCCTAACAGCTATCGTTGCTCTTTGATTGTTTTGTTCTCTAGACTATACTCTTCAGTGTCCTAACAGCTGCACTGATATTAAAATTAGTAACTTGGTTTAATTCCTGGTTTCAGAGGGAAATGCCTAGTTCAGCTGGTAAAAGCCTGTTTCAGTCTGAAATGGAACTATGGGTTTTCTTTGTTATCTGTTTTCTAAATGTACTTTGCTTTGCGATGAGAAAGTTTGCCTGTAGCAGGTACTTAAGAATTCCAGCCAGCCCTTGTATGTCTCAAGGGGTTGATTCATGGCAGATGCTTACTGTCACCACCCTGGGAAGGATGGGTTGATCACTGTGCTTCTACTGCCTGGATTCCAGTCACCAAAAATCCTGCTTAATTACAGTAATTTCTTAGTGAGTGACAGATCACATATACTAAAATTTAGGTATTTTCTGTCAGTGCATAAACTGTGGCAAGTTTACACTGATGAAAGATGTGACATAGCTTAATGAAAATGAAGACTAAGACCTAAGATGTTCTGAGGTAGAGTGGCTGAATCCAATAGACCCTCATGGTGACAATAACATAAGCCTCTAGGGTTTGTTTTTAGCAGTTTTGTATGAGTTTTATTACTGAACTAATGCTGTGAAGTTTGTTTTTGCAAATGTTACATGCTTTCCCTATTAGAGAATATTCTAATCCCAACTACAGCATGTACCTTGCTTTACTAAGTGTCTGCTTAGTCTTATTCTAGGAAAAATACATAAGATCTCTTGCAACAGAAAGTAGCTGAGATGCAACCAGACTCTTCAAATCCTGTGCACTGTTTGCTGATCACCTTTGGAATACCAGGAACCCAATAAAGGTGGATAATTCACACAGAAGGGTCGTAGGCAAAGTGATGCTCACGTGTTTCTACACGTAATGTCTTTCCCAGCTCTTTGACATGGATGAGGATGGCACTATAACGGAAGATGAGTTTGCTTGTATCATTCAGTCAGCTCTGGGGGTGCCTGAACTTGATGTTTCTATGCTTTTCAAAGAAATAGACGCAGATGAAACCGGGAAGCTGTCCTACGGTAAGTTATGTCCTTTTGTAATAAAGAGCACTCCGACAGTCACCTCCACAGGGGGAGTTTCCTGCTTTTTTCTCCCTGAAATTATCTGATGGTTTTCATACCTTATCTCTCAGGAAAACTGTTGAAGCACAGACCTAGATACTTTGTGTGATATGCTTGAAATGTTTCAGAGGAAAGTAACTGGAGAGGAGCTTCAGTAAAAGGAGCAGGCACTGAAATTTTCTTTGATTCTGTTGATGCACTATAATATCTGTGTTTTTCAGATGAGTTCAAGGACTTTGCCTTCAAGCATCCAGAATATGCCAAGTTGTTTACTACATACCTAGAGCTACAGAGATACCAGTTAGACATGTTGGAAGAGAGTGACATTGCATCACCTGAAGTCAAACACAGTCCAGTTAGAAAGAGTACAATGTCAGTCTCAGAAACAACACCACTTGCAAGAAATAAAGTCTGTCCTGAAGGCAATGAAGAGGATAACTCAAGTACCTCTGACAAAAAGGATGACTGAGAACAGTTAAAGAATTCAGCTCTTGAATTCTACAGGATCTTCTCCTTAGCTGTTCATAAGCACAACTGATATAGAGATGGAAGTTACAATTAGAAAAAAAAATATTTTTTTTTGCTTTCATATCAGGAGGAGTTATTCCTGTTTGAATGTAAGGGAAAAATAACTGTTAAGTATTCTATTCTTGATGTCAGTAGCACAACACGGAGGATGTTGTTGTTCACTGTCTTTCAAGTTCATGTTTCCACAAAAGCAATGGATGGGCTAGGAGGGGTAAGAGGCTCCAGCTCTGAAGTGTCCCCTCAGAAGGGGCACTGAGGAGTCCACTTGCATAAAAACAAGTGGAATTTTTGGTGCTGCTCAATTCCTTTACATTCCCCATGTGTCTTAAGAGAAAAGAATGATGCCAGCGTGTTTTAATTTGCAGTATCCCTTAGCATTCTTTCTCAAGCTTCTGAGACACAAATGAGTTACAAGCAGCTGAGAGCTGAAGCAGGTGTTATCTTTTCACTGTCCTTAGACTTCTCTTAAACTGCTTGTGAACTATTAAGCCTAAGCTTCTGAGCAAGACATGCTGATTCACTGATGTTAAGAGAAATAGCTTTAGGCTTTAAAGGCTAGTTAAATATGGAAATAGCTGCACTTCTAGCAACAAAAAACTCATCGAAATTCCAAGACAGCAGCTCACAGTCTACAGGAAAGTGCAAACAATAAACCCCAAGAATTAATGGACTGTTTCAAAATAAATATTGTTTACAGGATCAACTGTTCAGGATCACATCAGGAGGCACGTATCAAACTTAAGCATATTTTTATTCTAGCAACTATCAACAGAGGAATGTGACCTTGCTCCACAAAACTTAAAAGGCAAATATGCTTTCAAGCCATAGTTCTAGCAGTTAGTAGCTACTCTAAAGCTGTCTCCTAGAAACCATGTTTGCATTACTGTGCCATTACTCAATGTGTTCTTAGGGTTGGATTCGAAACTAAGCTCCTTCTAGTCAACGATTTGAGTATGTTTTGCCTCAGACCCCTCTAGCGCACTGGAAATTGGGCCTTTACCTTTTTCCTTCCTTCATTTGAATGCACTTTATACAGTGTTTAAATATATGGGTATTTATGCAAATACTTAAAAACTTTGAAGGCGTGGAGTGACAGGATATTTTCAAATTAAAACCAAGATGAGCAAAGTCTAGAATGTCTAGTACCAAAACCAAGCAACTTTCAACAAGTATTCATATGTGAAATGGTAACCTCTGCCTCTAAGTTATTGCTTGTCCTGTCTGGCTGCAATCTCCTTGCCATGTTTAATCTTTCAATGTTTATAATTGTGCCTATCCCGATGTTTCTCGTGCTTAAAATAAATCTATATTTTTAAGACTTTACTTGAACATCTAAGACTTTTTAGTGCAGTGGAAAGGGTACTCTCTCTACCTTAAGGGGCTGGGGGGATTTCCAGGAAATCATCCGTACAGTGTTTTACCTTGACGATCACAACACAATCTGAAGTTGGCATCATTAGTTCTGAGTGTGATGGCACTTTTCTTTAAGGTAAGGCTAGAAAAATAGGACCGGAGTGATGCTCATCCAAAGAGGTACTTCTGCTGACTACCTCAGCAATAGGGGATGTGATACATTTGCAGGTACATGGAGCGATACCTCCATTTTCTGACAGAAAATAAGGCAGCGCCATTTATATGTAAAAATGAGTGACCTCAACCACAGATGAGAAGTAACAATCATGGTATTGTGTAATACAAATGTTGAGAGAGGGTTTTCTTTCACTTTCGGGAAGGAGAAGCAGGAGTTACCCTAACCTGGATGCACAGTTAGCTGGAACACATGTTATGTCCCTACAATGACACGTTTACTGAAGTCCTCAGCAGTAATCTTTTCAAAGACAACTTCTGTTCCAACCAGTAAGAAAAAGCCCGGTGGGCAAAGGTGACAAAGACAACCAGTTGAAGGTCTTGGAATGCCTCTCACGTTGGATGCCTCACACATGCTCCTGTTGAATCCAGCCACATTCAGCAACTGGAGCGCTATGCTGCCCCATAGCGTAGCATATTTCAGACTAGGGATTTTATAAAAACCTGCAAGTCACACAAGCACTTTGCAATTAAAACTAAATATATTGTGTGTATAAATCTACGCATCCCAATAGTTTAAGGAGGAAGGGCCACAAATGGGTTTGGTATGTAGCAGTGATTCAACTATGCTCCGAAAAGAAATTAGCTAAATGTTAGAGACGCTAACTCAATATACACTCATCTGCTTGATGTGCAGGAAGGGAATACATTAATTTCTAGGCATCATTGTGCCGCAGGGAGCTTTTAAAAGGGCCAAACTAAAAGCAGTCTGCAATAAATGGGCATTACATTAAGTGGCAGAGCATAAACAGAAGGAGAAGGTTAAAAATACTAAACAGAAAATGGTTCTCAATCAGGCACTGAGGGATGACACCTTTCTCCCTGAGACTTCCTGAGTAGCAAGTTCTTAAGTCTATGGGCTGCTTAAGGATCATTTTGAGTAGAGCTAGTAGAAAGGTGTATTTGGTCTCATGTCACCGTAGGAAACCATTTATTTAATCAGTACTTCTTTGTCATGCTATACCATGGATTTGATGGTAAATCCCTCACAGATACCAGAGTAAGACACTGTAAGGTATACAGGAACTCCAGCAACCTGAACTAAACAAGGACAGAGAATCAAAGTCTGAGAATCAGACATGGACAAGTCTCTTAAAAGAGGAAAACACAACTAACTGTCAAGAATAGAAGCCCATGGGCTGCTGTTTTTCATGTTTTTCAATAACTAAGGACATACACTGTGAATAAACGTCACTTCCAGTTTTTATAGGCTCCTGCTTCTGAACCCATGAAAGGCAATGGTGGGTCACCTAGAAAAGTGGACCTTCCTTGTTCAGCCTGAAACAAGGAAGGTACCAATACTGTAAATCTTGATCACTTTCTTTAAAGAAAGTGAATCAACAGCGTCTCCTCTGGCCACACCAGAGACTGATTTCTGAGAGAAAGATCTTACGATCCAAGAAAATTATGACTGTATTTGTACTTGCTTTGCTGCATCAGTGCCGCTGCCTAAATAAACACAGAATTAGAGATAACACAGCCAGGCCTCATGTCACATCATAGTGCTGCAAGATCTGGTCTTAAACTGCCAAAATCACGTAACTACCGGCTGGCTGCTGTCCAGTAGAACTATGAGGCTCAGTAACAGGTCTAATGACCGTTCATAGGACTGCTGCACAAGGTAAGGGCTGCTTGGCCACATCTGTCATCTACCGAGCAGTTCCTGGCTAAAAGAAAGCATTCCCTGGGTACTCGAAGTCTGAGAAACATTTGTTGAGATCTTTTTTTCTATGGTGGTCAGCACACCAGGGCCCTATTCCTGGGTAATTCCTCAGGCACCATGCCAGGGCAAATAAACACACCATTCTGCCTGAGCAGGCTTCTGGTGGTGTTTGCATAAGTGCCAAGGGCTACTCAGAATGCATAGATGTGGAAAATCAGGGCCTGAGGCTTAGAAACTAAAAGTAAAAAACGCCACTACATACACAAACACGCCCACACTCCCCTGCGGACAGTGTGCCTGTGAACTGTGTGACTGCAGCCTTCACCAGGCAAAGCAGCCTGAAATTTCATGCTAAGAATTACATAGCTCTCACCTTGAGAATGCCACAATAAAAAAAGTTGAGTTTAACTTGCCACATGATTTGCTAGGAAGGCTATGCTCTGTTCAGAGTGGCCTTTGGCTTATATTTTTCCTGTCAGTTTTGCATCCCTTGGAACAGACTTCCTTTCCCCTCTACGTTGCTGCCCAAAATGCAGCCACTACCATGAAAAGCTGTATTCCATACTGATTGAAGTTAAGAAATTGTAAGATTAAAGCATAAAAATTACTGAATTGTGTGGGATTCAGGAGGTACTTCTGCAGCACTTGGGTAACTACTTTTACCAGCCTGCAGTAAAAGCAAACTTGTCAAAGGTTGCAAGGGATTTTAATAACATTTAATTAATTAATTTTAAATCTTTACTCAATGAAATAACATTTATTAGACTGACTAGCAGTACGGAGACGTTTTGTCAGCAGTGCTTAGGTTGGCAGACTCTTTGTTACTATACATAGCCAGAGAGGCAGAAAGTAAACATCTTATAGGATTAGCAGCTCTGTTCATAGCTGAGATGAAATTTGGACATTTCATTAGTATAAGATTGATTCTGACATTTCATAAAGCCAAAATGCAAACAAAAAAAAAGCGTCTGATATAAATACAGTATGCAGCACTTACTCAGATAAAGTTCAAGAAGCGCAGCAGATTTAGTGCTATGACAAAGGAAATACAGAAGGGTCATTTAAGGACCCAACTTCTGCTAAGCACTTAACTGTACACTTAATCCTGTGGGCACCAAGCAGATACAAGAAAACAGGAAAAATTACCATGGCCAGTTATTGTGAATTATGGTAAGTATGACACCACCCTCATCCAGGAAAACTATCACAATTTATTAAGTTTTATTAAAGTTTTAATTTATTGTGCCATCCTCTTAGTTTAAGGTATTCTGTAATAACCACAGACTGATGAGACTTCAGAGACACATAGTACTATTACAGTAGGAAATACTGCATTACTTTAGCTAGGTACTACCTACCTATTGCTTTTTTTAAGCCCCCTGCACCTCAAGAGGTTGAAAGTAAATACATGCCCCTCCTCTGTTCTCACATCATGATTATTCTATGTTCTTATGCTATTACATGCTTTAATGTACTGAAAGTAGACCAATTTTTCTTTTTTCATCCATTACTTTTTATTAGACTATGTAGAAAATATTCTATAGAAAATCTTTTGCACATTAAAATGAGGTTTAAGTGTGGCTCATCTTTCAAGCCACACCTGCACAATTGCTTTGTTCTAAGCTGGGTGTAGGTAAAAGCATGTTTCCCTAGTTTCCCCAAGTCTCCTGGAGCACGTTATCTCTTGAGGT